GAGGCGTCGGCGCTGGCTGAGGAGACCGACATCGATGTGGTGGGCGAGGAGGACGACGAGGAGGACGACGAGGAGCCGCAGACCCGCCGTCGCCGCCGCTCCTACGCCGAGGACGAGGAGGAGGAGGAGGAGGAAGAGGACGAGGAGGATGTGGGCGACCTCCACGACGCCGCCCTGCTGCCGCGGTCGTCCGTGCGCGGCGGAGGCGGAGGTGGCGGCGGCGGCGGCGGCGGCGGGGCGGGCGGTGGGGACGGTGCCGGCGGCTCTCGGCCCCCCTCGCGGGGTGGCCCCCAGAAGGCGGCGGCGAGCGGCGGCGGGGCGGGCGGCGGCGGTGGGGCGGGCGGCGGCGGTAAGAACAGCTTGGTGAAGCCGCCCTACTCCTACATCGCCCTCATCACCATGGCCATCCTGCAGAGCCCCAAGAAGAGGCTGACGCTGAGTGAAATCTGCGAGTTCATCAGCGGGCGCTTCCCCTACTACCGGGAGAAGTTCCCTGCCTGGCAGAACAGCATCCGCCACAACCTCTCCCTCAACGACTGCTTCGTCAAGATTCCCCGGGAGCCCGGCAATCCTGGCAAGGGCAACTACTGGACGCTGGACCCCGAATCTGCCGACATGTTCGACAACGGGAGCTTCCTGCGCCGCCGAAAGCGCTTCAAGCGGCAGCAGCTCCCGGCTCCCGAGCTTCTGCTGCGCGCCGTGGACCCCGCCGCCTTCCTCCCGCAGCCCCCGCCGCAGCCTCCGCAGCAGCCACCCTGCACCTACGGACCCTACGGCTGCGGCTACGGTCTCCAGCTCCAGCCCTACCACCCCCACTCCACTCTCTTCGCCTTCCACCACCCCTCCCCGCCGCCCCGCCAACCGCCCGCCGCCCCTGGCAGCGCCCCGGGTGCGGCGCTGCCCCCCACCGCCGCCGCGCCGCCGGGCCCCTTGCTGCCGGCGGCGGAGCTGGCACGGACGCCGTTCGGCTACGCTCACCCGCTGGGCCCGGCGCTGGCGGCCTCGCTGCACTCCGCCAAGCCCGGCAGCGGCGCGGCGCTGGCCCGCTCGCCGTTCTCCATCGAGAGCATCATCGGGGGGGGGCCCGGCCCCGGCGCGGGCAGCAGCTGCGCCTCGCAGTCGGCCGCGGCGCCGGGGCTGGCCCGCTCGCTGGGGAGCGCCGGGGGCGGCCTGCCCCCCACCGCCGCCCTGCCCGCCGCCCCCGGCTTCGCGGCACGGATCTCTAACTGTTAAGTGTTTGGGAGTCTTTCCGAAGGTAGGATCTGGGGTATCTCCTTTCTCCGCCGCTCGGACGCCCGGCGGACGCCGCTCGCAGGGGCTGCCTGTCTTTGCGTGGGGATATTGTGACGGGGATCGGGAGGCGTCCGCCGCGAGCGGCGGACCTCCCGGGACCTGCACGAGTGCAAAGCCAGGTCTAGATCTAGATACTGCACGGGCAGGCGGTAACTACATCGGAAAGTTATTCGTTACTCCTTAAAAAGTAAAAAAAAAAAAGGTGATAAATAATGTCTCTAAACCGTTTAAGTTCAGAGATTCTCAGGTCTAGGAGCTTGAAAACAGTAATGTACAGGAAAAAAAAGGCTTGAGGGAGGACAGCAGAGCAATACTTTTTCATTTTAGGACACTTGTCTCATGTACTTTTATAAAAGAAAAGATTAACGTGTTTACACAGAAGAAAGTCAAGATTATCATTTCTTATTTTAACCTGTGTTTTGTATTATAATAGACTTACGGAGTTTTTTATTTTGTACTTTATGCGTATTCTTTACAAGGAATATTGTTAAAAATTACTGGCAAGTATTGTACCATTTTAATGTAAAATTTTTACACATTTTCAAAAATAAAAATTTTAATTTTCAAAAAAAAAAAAAAATCAAAACCAAACCCAAAGACCAAAGGATCCCAGCCAAATAATTGGCTTTGGATCCTTCCCTCCTTAATATTTCTCATTTCTTTGAGACACTGACAATTTTTTTCTTCGGGATTAATAGCACAATAGTCAAGGAATATTATAGCTTGAAATTTATTATGTCCGGATTTGACCATAAAGAAGAATATCAGAATATGGTCTTTGCAGTCAATGCGTTGTTAACCCTAGCAGAGAATGATAGACATTCCTCCCCCAAAGAAAAAAACAAACAAAAAACACAAACAAAAACCCCACCCAACACAAAGCAAACAAACAAAAACAAAAACCCCAAACAAAAGACTACAAAAAACATCAGGGACAAAAGACAGGATAAATAGAAATAGGTCTCTCTGTAAGGCACCAATCAGTGGATTGATTAAAAAGCCGGTTTAAAACTATTTTTATACTTTTGGGTGTGTTTTAAATCACAGCTGCATCACAGTTTTGTTTCCAAGAGGCCCAAAGGAAAATACTACTACTGAGAGGCACGTACTGAACTTAAGACAGATTTGCCCCAGACACTTACATTTCTGTGATGATAATAGTGGCCAGTGATTCTACTTTTCAATACATATAATATAAAATGAGCTTTGGAATATCCTTGTGTGATGAGTTGATTAAGTGTATAAGCTGTCGAAGTAAGGATATATAAGTACATGGAACAAACCATGAAAGCAGTTTTTCTCATTCCAAACACTCGTTTTTAACAGCGTAATGTCGATATCTATTTTATGGACTAGAAATTTTTTAACCACAAAGCCGGCCTCGAATATTCAGAACTCGGGCATGGAAAAGAGAAACACAGATTTTAAGAGTAGGGATGTGGTTACTTGTTGTGGACTAAGAACACACGTTTTTCAAACCGGGGAGGCTCTTTTCAAGTACGACTGTATTTATAACAATTGAGGAGACTCGGGGATCAATTATGTGAATTTTCTTAATAAAAAGAATTATAAAAGGTAGGGATGCCTTTTAGTGCTCTTTGAAGTGAGGAGGGAAAGGTGGGGTAAATACATGCATTTACATATCGAAATACTTCGTCGCTTGGTTTTAAGTATTTTCCTAGATAGAAAAGTGATGCTTTTCTGTTTGGTTTGTAGCAAGGCAGTGTTAAATTAGTAGCTTTGAAAAAGCAGGAGGAGTGGACGTAAGATCTCTGCTGGGCTCCATTTGCAGTCTGCAACTGGAAGGCTCCTTTGGGTGTCCCGGGTCCATTAGAAGACAAAGAAGTAGAGTCCGTTTTAATTTTTAAAACTAAAGGGAAAATACTCCACAGACACCGTGTATGTACCTGTGATAGCGCGTCTTTTTCACGAGAGACCGATTAACTCGCTTTCCCCGGGACTGGCCAGGGGGATGCCGGTCCAGCGCGGGGTACCGAGCTCGGCAGAGGCCCCCCTCGGACAGTCAGATAAAATCAAGCAGAGAAAGGTTTTGCCGGGATGAAGGCAGCTGTAGCAAACGCGACCGGCGATGCCCGGCTCCCCGAGGAGGGACGCTGCCGGCCGTCAGTCTGGATTCTGGCTTCTCGAGTCCTCGCGCTCTCCACGAGCAGTTACGTGGGAAGAGTAGGTTCCGGCGATCCACCCTGTGTTTGTTTCTGTTGGCTTCCCCGCAGCAGACTCTGGGGAGCCCAGCGACTCCCCTGCGCGGAGCCGGGCCCGGCCCGGCGGGCGGCGGGGTCGAGCGTCCCCGCCGCCTGTCCCTCAGGTCTTCTCGGAGATGCATGGCAAGCAAACTGTTTGGCCACTTGTTTCTTCCACGCTTTCCGCCGGTTGCCTTCATCCCATGCGGACAGGGCCTTCCCCTGAGAGCTGGTAGGGAAGCTAGCAGGAGCAATTTGCAGTACGTGGTGTAGATTTTTTTTTCTCCTTTAAGGAAACGGGAATCGGGGAAGAGGTTTGTGGCGTTGGTGGAGGACCCTTTCGCCTGTTCTCCTCGAGTCGACGGGGAAGCCGCCCGTCCTCGGCCTCGGTTCCGGCGGTCCCTGTTCCCAAGCCGCTGCCCCGGAGCAGGTGCCGCCAGAAAAGGCGCCGGCCCCGCAGACCTTTGATGAGCTCGCAGCACCGCCGGGCCGCAGCGCCCCACTCGCATGCTAATGGCCCGCCGTGGTCTCCACGGCTTTCAAGGCTGAGAGAGAGGACGTGTAGTCCTCGCAGGGACCTAGCCCGGACGAGCAATTCCTCCAAAATAGTCTGGACCCTAATAAACAATTTGGTAGGACAAGGAGTATAGTGTCGCCTCCTTCTCCTCCTCCCAGCGGAAAAAGTGTGGATTCATTAACCCGTTTCCTTGCTCATCATATCCCCGTAGGGCTGAGACACGAATTACTGGATGTGAATTAGGAGGGGATTGCTCTATGAGGGGACTAATGTTTCAATCAGTCCCTCCAGAAGGACCACACAAAAAGAAACTTTTTAGTTTATGGTGCTATTATGCGGAGTTTTAATCTAGGGGTAGATTTAGCCAAATGTTATCTATTGGGAATTTAATGAAGCCCTTATGTATTCAATCGTCTTTCATGCCACACACAGTGTTTCTATCCAGAAACGTTTCCTTCCACATATTTCTTTGTTTCTGATGGGTGATTTATATATTTTTAATTAGGTTTTTAAAAAAATATTTCTTTTCAAGCATCTTGTATAACGTTTCTCTCAAGCAGGACTGTGTTAAGTCCCTTCCCACATCCCCTATAAAAGAGGTTTCCCCTTCCCGGTTTCAAAGATGATTAGCTTGCACGTCCGCACGCTGTGCCCTTCCTGCCGGAGCATTCCCGCTGCCTTGTACAGAGGGTCCGGACATGGTGCCCTCTCGGTCATCACCGGCGTGGGCTGTGGCGAGCAGCACAGCCCGGTTATCCGGCTGAGCCCCTAGCCCCCCGTGCACAGATCCCCGGCCCTAAAGTTGCACTCCTCACAAACCTTCCCCACCCGCAGCTCCTTCGGACTGCACCTTTGGTCCTGTTTGTATTTCTGGTGCCGCGAGAGGCACCCCTAGGGACAGCGAGGTGTCAGCTGGTGCACACCCCGTCTTTGTAGGCTCGTTTCAAGTACCCAGGATCAACTCCATCCCCGATTCCGGAGGATGCAAGTGGGGTGCGAGGCCCTCACCTGCTCTCAGCTGCTCCCTTTCTTTCGGCGCTGGTGGCAAGGGCAGAGTGCACGGTCGCCCGCACCGAGAGTGAGGCCTCTGCGGGGGATCTGTTGGAAAGTAGATCTCGTTTAACTGTCCCTTGGCATGGCCCAGAGATTCCACTCTGTATGTAATACTTTCCCTCAGTACTTACAGTAAGTACTGCAGTAGTCTCTGATAATATTGCATTTGACACAAATAATGGAAATTTTGATCGTGGCCAAACGCTCCCTGCTCTGGAACTTGCTAACCAATGTAGATCCGTTTTTCAGCTTGTTGCCAGTGGCTCCCTCATCTGCAGCGGTATTCCTCCCACTTCCCTTGGCGCCGGCCACATGCACCATCGGAATCCGGGCACGGGCGGGAACCGGCTGCCTTGTGCCCGCAGTCGGGCACACCACGAGCAGGTAGGTGTCTGCTCGGCCTCCGCTGCCCCTCACCCCTAGGCTCCGATGATCTGCCGCAGGTGATTTCAGGGCCTCTACGCCCTTCTCCACAAGTCCTTTATGCTCTGCAACCCCCACCGTGAGAGCCACATCGAGCAGCCGCCGTGGGCTCTCTGCTCTCTGCCCGTTCCTGCCCTGCAAGGCACGACCAAGATGTTTAGGAGACATTCGCCACAACTGTGTGTGTGTGTGTGTGTGTGTTTGTGTGTGTGTTTGTGTGTGTTTGTGTGTGTGTACGTGTGTGCAGGCAAATGGCACTCCAGAAGGTAACAAGCTGCTGCCGGATCTATGCTGCAGCAACAACCGTTCTCAGTGCCTCCTTAATGTCAGTGCCATCTTTATGCAGATGGGTGCATGTCGATTTTGGAGACAGGCAGAGAAATGCAGGCGAGCCCCAAATCGGTAAACCTCTTGTTCCTGTTTTTCACTTGCAGGACAACTCTGGTCCCCACCGCCGGCCCCCGCCCGAAGGTGTGCTGCGGCTACCGGCCCTGGAGCCACGCCGGACCCCTCCCCGCCGCCCGGCCCAGCTCGCCGCTCAGTTCCCGGCACGATCCAGAAGAACAGAGGCAAAGGCTGTGGGGCTTGGGGGGATACACACCTCAGCAACCTCAGACCAGCCCGGCTGCAGCAGCGTGGGTGGCACCGAGGGCTGTGCGCGGCCGCGCAGTGGCGCAGGGCCTCAGCGGCCTCGGTGGTGCTCTGCCCGTGGGAGCGGGGAGGCACCCGGCGGCGTCTCGGCGAGAATCACCGCGGAAGGCACACAGAAGCTGCACATCGTAAGAAGATGTGCCCTAAGTGCAGAGCTCCGGCTCCGCGGGCTGTCGCGGCGAGGGACAGAGAGGCACACACTGTGCTCTGCTCTACGGAGGAACCTACGGGCTAGGCCTCGGAGTGCACAAAAACTAGAAAAACATATGGACTGGAGTGTACGAAAGGCGCTTTTTTTTTTTTTAAGTGCTGAATCTCACCAATTTCAGAAATTGTACCGCTGAGCTGAATTCAGAACGAAAGTTGTGGATTTTTTTTCAATCAAAATAATTAAACTTGCCCTTCCTCCAAGTCATAAGAGACCTGTTGAATTGATTCTAAGTTTCTCTTTCCCTGATGGAGCAAACGGCATGTAGACGTCTGCGGGGCCCCATATTCAGATGATAAATTATACAATTTATGTTGGAAGCAAAAGGATAAATAGATAATTCAGCTTTTGCATTAATTCGTTTTCTAAGAGCAGGAAAGCCTTAATGACAGTTAATCCGAAGGTATTTCTGTCTCCTCCGCACAATAGAAAAGCATTTGCGTGCATCGAACGCATGTGTACGTTCAGACATGTGTGCCCCTCACCCGGTGATGCCACCTTCCCGAGCAACTGTAGCACTGCAGTGGTCTCTCCGGCAAATTCCTAGGCTTTGGAAAGTCCTTGTAAAACCCGGGTATATGTCTCTTCGTACCGCGGTGGTCGTAGGTCTGCTTCTCTAATTTGATTACAGCAGAGTACATGCACACCTGTATACACGAAATACATGAAATACACACAATCAAGATAAATGAGGTGTCTTCCCTGGGTTTTCTTTTCGTAAAATAAACACTGTCACGTCTGCTTATTCAGCAACCACTAGACGAAACAGATAGCCTTCTAATGTACGTGTATACAGTGAAATTCCACCTGTCGGCTGCACTAAGGGAGGGATAGAGGAGGACAGTCTCTTCGAATCAATAGCTCACTATTAAAAGAACCATTGGTGAGAAAAAAAAATGTCCAACTCCGAGTGAAGAGGGACAGATGTGTCAGGTGACTTTGCCCTAAAGTAGACGGGATTGGAAATTACGGACCATGGAAAAAATAGTTAAACTTTTCATTGCAGCCTGCCTCTGATTGCACAAAATCCCGTCTGGGAAAGCTCGGTAGTCTCTGTTAAACATCCTCCCCTCCTTCTTGGAAGTCCGTAACTTGTCTTTTTCCGTGCAGACGGCGCTGGCTATGGGGCAGCGCACGCAGATGTGTATCATCGCACTGTCCCGCAAGCGCTCGGCAGCCGGCGGCCCCGCTAACACCAAACACAGACCTCTTCCCCTCTACTTTCCGCTTCTGTACGAGAAGCCAAAGGGCGGCCCTTCTCTGGAAATTAACCTCTTTAGATCGCTTTCAGCACGACTTCTCTCGCCATGGTTCTTCTCCGGGTGCTCAAACATCTGCTGGCCGGGACACCGTTTTCGGGGGAATCCCTAGTCCCACCCGGCCGCCCATGAGGCGGGTACCCCGTCCCCCACACCGAAGCAGAGCTACCGACAAGCCACGTGGAGTGAACGTCTCTGCTTTTAAACAGACTACCTTCCCCTCCAGCCTCCTCCCCACCCAGAGGGAGTCCGCAAAAATTTGCTAACACACGCGGGCAAGCCAAACCTGGCGGTCCCACAAGAGCTTTTGAAACCAGTCCCGGAGATGCTGCTGCGCCTGCAACTGCGAGACGGCGCGGTCCGCCCGGGTGAGCGGCGCAAAACTCCGCGGCCGCGCCGGGGAGGAGCCTGGGGCGCTGCGGCAGATGGGCTGGAAGGAACCGTGGTCTGTGCCTCCTCCCGGCCCCAGGTACGCCGCCGTCCTAACTGGGCTGCGCTGGGCCGCCCGCTGGCAGAGCAGACCAGTGCTGCCGTCGAGCGAGTGGCCTGGGTTGATTACTCGCCCTGACGCGGACAACTCGCGGCCCGGTCCGATCCTGTCTTCGGCAACCACGCGGGGCATTTGGAGACACTGTGGGGCGCCTGGGGGCGTGTGGGGTGAGGGGAGCCCGCTGCCGACGCTATAAATCCCTCGGCAATTGAGTTCTGCACCTTTGATTTGAAAAATCGGATTCTTTGAGTGGAAACAGTTGACAGGAACCTAAAAGGATTAGCTGCATTCCACACAGGATCATTTTTACTCGTAACATTTTGAAACGATTGATCCCTTCCAGACCATAAACAATGTCCAGAAAAATGATCTAACGAGACTTCCATTGTTTCCTTTTGTCTACGAATCCCCTTCGCCAGGAGTTTGATTAGGGACTTTGACAGTTGGATCTTAATTACACACACACACCCTTTTCCCGAGATAATTATTGAATTTGAAATAGTTCGCTATTTGGTCCGTAACCTTAATCTGCCAGAAATCGAGCAAGTGCGGAGAAAGCCAGGTAGGGGAAGAAGGAGCAAGGAGAGTGGGAAGGGAGGGGTGTGGGGGCTCAGTTGCCACAGGTTGCCGTTATGAGAGGTGGGGGCATTTCCCATGCTTCCCTTGCTGCCTTTTATGCCGGCCTGGAGGAAGAAAAAGGAGGGGAAATCCCACAGGTTGCCCGGGACGTGGCGAGTAGAATACCGCACGCGCGGCCCCGTTCCCCACCGTGGCCCGAGAGGACTCGAGATCCGCGGGCACTGCCTTGTCCCTCACCCGTCTGAGGGCAGCAGTGTTAACGAGGAGACACTAGTGGGGGAGGGAGCGAGGAGGCCCTGCCCTGTCGTTCTGACCGACTGACTTTTCCTCTGTTTTGACACCTGCGCGCACTGCCCTATGCTCGTCTCCTTGATTTATCGCCCATTTAAATGTTCAGCCTTCCTCGAACCGGCCGCTCTGCTTCCGTTCGAGGGGTCTCCGCAGGTGCCGTCTCCCCGACGACAGCACAGGAGGCGATGGCCGAGGTGGGGACCTGGGAAGCAAGCCGCTTCTCTACCTGTTCCCTTTCTTTTCCTTCCCCTCCTCACGTGTGTGATCGCGGGGCCCAGCTGCGCACGGGCGAGACGGCGGGTGCTGGAGCGGTGCCCGACAGCGAGTCCCGGCCCAGGGCTGCGCCGTGCAGCGGGGAGTGCTTCCAGCCCAGGACGGAAAACAGTAAAAATCTGGGGGAAAACCCGACCAGGAAAGGCACCTCAATTATGCCTCTCTTCAATTAAGAGAGCAGCTCCTGCCCCTCGGATTCCTCAGGACTTGTTCTTCCTGTCAGGCTCCGGGATTCTTCTTCTTTCTCTCTTTCTTCTCTCTCTCTCTCCCTCCTTCTCCCCCGCCCCCTTTTTTTTTTATTCTTTTCCTTTATTTCTTCTTTCCTCGCATTGAGAACAAGAGATTCGCCAGCACATATTGGTGCATTGAGCATCTTCGTATCTTAACTGTGTCTTCCCTATATCTATCAATCCACCTCTCTAATTAGACTAATTAGAAGATATGTGGAGTGTTGCTGGGTCCATAGACTAAACTGCTTAGGGCTTCTGAAAGGAAGGCTGAATGCCCGCCATGGGAGGTGGCCATTCAGGGGGACGGTAACAGTTGCTACATTTATCTCCTGCCATTGAAAAGAGCTCTGCTTAAAGCTCGATTAAAATGTTTGGAAACTAATGCCACCCTGGATCCGTCTCTAATTAGAGGGCCTGGATAGATCACCCTGAGCAGTCAAAAGGAACTCCTTCCCAGGCTTGGCTTTTCTGTTCAGCAAAATTACTTCTCTCCTCACAACCCTCACCCTCCCCCCCCCCAAAAAAAAAAAAAATAGAAAAAAAAAGAAAAAAGAAGAGAAAAAGATAACGCAGCTATAAAAACGGAGGGCAGAAAAATGGCGCTAGGCCAAAGTCTTCCTCCCCAAGGGTTGTGTTCGGTCCCTGCTTTCCTGACGGGAGGCCTAGACTCTCCTTCCTTTAACTTTTTTCAGCGGCCAGGATGCTTCCCAACCCGCGGAGCGATAGGTCTAGATTGGGCTCCCTAGATCCTTCTCCGCTGCCTGCTGCCAGGCAGTCAGGAACTCTGTGAAGGGGAAAGGCCGTCGTCGTCCTCCCCTCACACAGCGGCCCCACGGCTGCGGTGCGTCCACAGGTGCAGAGCGCGGAGCCTGGCTTTCCTCCTTGCCCCGCTGCCCCCGCTGGGCCGCGCCGACCTTGGGCAGAAAGCGACGGTGGAGTAAAAAAAAAAAGGGGCAGACGGAGCGTGGGGAAAGGTCACCCGCCGAGGTGGTGGCTCCTGCCCCCCAAAAGCTGCGTGCGGGAAGCCCAGTCGGAGCGGCTGTTTCCGACAGGCTTCCGGGTGGATTGAGGGAAGGGAGGTTGGAAATCCCTCCCCGAGGAGTCCTGTGCCTCCAGGTGAGCACACCGCCGCGCACCCAAGCGAGCACACACGCGTTTCTGTGCCCTCCGGTATGTGCGCAGGGGCAGGGGCAGCCCTCGGGGCACCCTGCTCCCGGGGAACGCAGCAGTATCTGGCACCTCGTAAATTCGCGGAGCAGTTTCTTCCCCTACGACAGAGTTATATTTTGTCCTCATAAACGCGAATAAAAGATTGGTGCTGACGGGGGAAGGCATGAGGAAAAAGTTCTTTTCATTAACACCAGCCTGCTACACCCAGATGTCTTAATGTACGGGATAGATATGACCAAAAGTGCCTGAAAAAGCTCCTAGTCATGACTTAGCAGGCGACGAGCCCGCGACGGTCAGATCTCACCCGGTGGAGCGCACCGCCCTTGTGCCGACAAACAAGTGTGCGCCTGCGGCCCCGACGGTACCAGAGGGGGGAGGGCCGCGGGGGGTGGTGGTGCGGATTTCACCCCGGGGTCTTTTGCGATTGCAGAGCACCAAGTATCAGCAGAGGAGAATAAAGATGGTGTGTGATTGTTGTTGTTGTTGTTGTTGTTGTTGTTGTTGTTGTTGACCACGACCCGGTGGGCCTTCTGGAGAAACTGTCCAATCTACCAGGGAAATGCATCCGCATCCCGTTCTCCCTGTCTTCCCTCAGGAGAGGCTCCGCTGAGCCGCTGACGGGTGGGATCTCCTGGGAGAAAGACCTTAGGAAGTGGCAGGCGCAGAAACCAAAGTGATATCTTCCCTTTCTTCCAAGTCTCCAGAGTCACTTTCTCCAGAAACCCTCTGCACGGAAAGGGCACAGGAGAGAATTGGAAAGATTTGCTCGGTGTGCGTGCGCCTCTTCGTACCAGTAGTCAGGCGACGTTACCAGCGGGAAAAGGACTGGCTCCGTGACCCGGATGAGCCTGCAAGTGGTAAGCGGGGCAGCCCCCGCGGTGTCCCGGATCTGCTGTGCTCTTCGTCGGCCAGGCGGAGGGCTGCTCCCGCTGTATCATGTCTAATCCCAGTGAATTTAGGACGAGACTCAAGGACAAAACCGATCAAATATTTCCCTAAGGGACATACGGGGAGCTGCTCCCACTGTATAGTATCTAATCCCAGTGAACTCAACAGGACGAGTCCCAAGGACAAAACCGATCAAATATTTCCCTTAGGGACATAGAATCTACTTCCCCCTCCCCCGCCCCCCCACCCCATTCAAAAGCGAGCCCAGCTCAGAGGACAGATTTGTTCGTCTGCAGAGAGGGAATCTCTTCATTAAATGCTCCCAGAGGATCTCACCCCTGCTCCGCTGGGATCCGCGGGTGAAGGGGCATCCTTGGGACTCACCTGCGGGAGCGAGAGGGGAGGCCTCTCCGCCAGAGGGTGGGGTTTGGCCCTCGGGAGCGAGCAGGAGACTTTCTCCTGGCTGCTGGGCCGGGTCAGGTCACTGAGCAGGTAAAGAGAGAGCACACACGCAACACACTCTCCAGAAGGCAAGCTTGTCGCTTGGCCCTGATCGTGGGCTGTGCCCCTGCCCACACCCCTCCAGCATTGACAGTATGTAGGGCACTTCATCACGAAACGCAACTCCGGAGGTGCCCAAGATACAGTCAGGAGGGAGTGCCCGGACTTCAGGGTCAAAGATCTGCATGAGAGATAATTGAGAGTTTGCTGAGTTTTGCTGAGAGTTTTACTGCGTTTTAGAGTTTTCTTAATTTCAGAGTGCAGCATCTTCCCAGGGCCAGTGTCTGCATTTCTCGAGCCCAAGGGTAGACCCTGACACTGGTGACCTCTCACTTTTGGCAAACAAGCAGATGAGGACAGAGGATGCTTCCTGTCCAGAGCCAAGGGCAGCTGCAGCTGTGTGCCTGGTAGTCCGTCTCAATCGGCAGGTGGCTTGAGCTGTTTGTCTACGTTTTACATGTTTCACATTGTTTTCCTCGTGGGCGTTATAGGGCAACTTTCCTTGTTAGCACTGGGATTTTCTCTCTTTTTTTTCTTATTCTTTTTGTTTTTTTCTTTTAATAAATTCTCATGTGAAATTTCTGCAAGTAGCATGGACATAGGGGCAGAGCTCTGGGCTGAGTGGTTTAGCTGAAACCTAAGCTCTGGCACTGACCCACTCTTCCACTCATGGTAGTCCTGGGCGTGCCTTTGCCTCGGATGTCTTTTGTGTAGTTGTGTCATTCACCCCAGACTGGTCAGGAAGGGAAGTGGTGGGAGATGGATGTTTTGGGGTTGGGGAAGGCTGAGGGCAGGAGAAGAAGATGGGTTAGGCCTCTCTGAAATCTAGTGCTTGGTGAAAATCCCGCGCAGGGAGGGGCGCAGGGTCATAGCCGCCCCGCGGAGAAGCGGGAACTCTCTGGGATGTACGGAGCAGTGGACTTTTTTTTTTTTTTTCCAGCGAGTCCTCCGGATAGGAGCAGGTTGATGCAGGGGGCCCCTCGCCATACCACCCCGCTGGGGGACGGCCTTTCCCAGGGCCCCGGGGGCCGCTGCCGCAGTGATGGTGGGGCGCGAAGGGTCAGGAGCTTTACTAATGGAAATTTCAGAGGGATGGAGATCTGCGTGTCTGAAAACACGCACTCCTCGCCATCTCCCGCCAAAGTACCCTTGTGATCTGGCTATCTCAACCAGCCAGAACAACGGCTTTCCCCAGATGTT